ATAAATATGTCGCGAATACAGAAACCGTGGATATGGAATGGTAATTACTATGGAATCATAGGGGATACGTTCTAAGGTTCCAAAATAAAACCAATATGTATCAGAATAAAATCAATTTATTGAGAAATTCGCAATTAAAATTAATCGTTATAATCAGCTATAGACAAGGATTTAAAAAATTTAGTGATTTTTTCTTGTTTTGAATTTTGAAATTAGTCCACTCGGTTACATTTTTTATAAAAGTCACCTCGACACGAGCCGATAGTACTCACGTTGAAAAATAATACCGAATCCTTTTCTACTTGGTTAGATTTTTTATAAAAACCGCTTCGGCACGTATCAACTGTATATACTCAAAAGATGCCGATTCATTAAGGGGATTCAGTAGTATACGCGCAGTAGAGTAAAAAAAATGCTTATCGGTTCTAAATATCATGTTTAATATTTTGTAGTAATATAGATAAATCTTTGTTTTAAAGCTTGTCGAAGGCCATTTTCTAATTTTTTAATTTCTATTGAAAATACGTGTCCTAAAAGAAGCATCAACTGTACGCACTTGTAAAAGCTTTTAATGACCATATTATTGAAAACCAAAAACGTACCGAATTAGTGTACTAAGCACCTCTAAATGGTTTATAAATACTGCAATTATGCAAAAATTATGAATGTGACGAATTTCATTATCTGCCTGTGTAAAGTATACATAATGTCGTATCGTTAGGCGAAAAATCTACGTTTAATATTAGTAATATTCAAAAGAATTTATTTTTTAGGAATAGTTATTTTTAAGCGTTGTTTTGCTTTAATCTGTGAAGAATACCTTGTATTTTTGTTTATTTTAGAAAATGGTAAAGCGGTTTATACAAGACTGGCATAACAATAAAGAAAGTCAATACTAATTGAGATTAAGACATACCTATATTCAGTCGAAAAATGAATAGATTAATGAGATAATAAAGTATAATTTTAATTGATCTTTTATATTACGTTTGTTTGTGGATCAGGTTCCATTTAACCCACATTGACGTTGAATAGATAATATAATTAAGAAAAGAGTTATTGTAACCATGCTGATTGATATTAGAAAAAATAATTGGGATTTTTTAAATATTTTGCCTATAACTATTTTTTTTTCGAAAAGCAGATAATGATCAACAAATTTCCATAAAAGTAAATATCAGCCCCTAAAAATAAAAAACTCGTTACTCATGATGAGTTACTTTTACAGATATGCCAAAGACATCAAAATAAATGTTTCCACAATAATTCAACTTTTCCGAAGTTTTCTGTTAGATTTTAACGGGTTATTATTTCAGATTGTGTATTGTCCAGTTTACAAAAACACATACATGCATGAACTCTTCCTTAAACTAAATGTAGATGTAGACACACACCTCTTAAACTTAACTAATGTCGAATTATTGTGAAGATTCATTTTCGATTTTCCATCCACTACAAACTTCCTCAGGTTAATGAGGAAAAATTTTTTTTTTTTGCTGTCGTCACATTCCCGTCGGGAAGCGAACCCGGGACCTTTGGCTTTACGCACCAATGAATTTTCACATTAATATTGCATATTAACCACTATTAGTAATTAAAAATGTCATAATTTCGAATTATTTTCTTTCTCTTCTTAATCAGGTCCTGGAAGAAAGTATATGTATAGTGCCTCTTCGAGTAAGTTTGACAGCCTTGCTTTACAGTGTTGAATAAGTAAATAATATGATTATATGATTTAAAAGTAAATAACTACACCATTGGCTTTTCCAAGAACCAGAACTATCGTTTTCATTTAAATAAATGCAGTTTCAACTGAACAGTTTGTAGTGAACATTAAAAAAAATAATTGTCACTCATACTACATTAAAAATACAGGTGGAGTCAAAAGTCACACAGACATTTTTAAAATTTATTTTTTGTCGGAGGAAATATAAGCCTGTCAAAGCGATTTTGGAATGATATACCTATACGTTTATAATATATGCATATATGTATGCTTATTGCATTTAGAGGCTCATATTTATTTATTAAATTACTTCAATAATAGCACCCAAATTGACACTGTGACACCCATCTTTGGGGTACTTAGATATGTCTATGAAGGTAATAATTTTTGATGTAGTAGGTGCACATCAATCTTTTTAAAATACGAAATTACCTCTACTATAAGATATGATAAATCGAAAATTTTTTGGAGAGCTGAACAAACAGGCAAGACAATAATTTATTTTGAAAAGGTTTTGTTTCTGGCCCAGTCTATTAAAAATTGATGACAAAATATTGTAAAAAGGAAGAGGTTGTTAGTGCTTA